GTATGTTCAGTAGACACTCGCTATAGCTCAAAAGCTAAAGTTTCTGCAGATTCTGTCCTCACTGATCATGCTCAAGCCTCTCACAACTCCTAGGGTATGCACCATTCCCACAGAGTGACTGAACATGCTCCAGCTCAGGGCTACAGGCAACCGGCTGCTCCAAGCTGGGGAACAGAGCAGGGTGCCCGTGTGCTCTCATTGACCCCCTTGCTGGCACCCATTCAGTATGAATGAGGAAGCCATCTCATTCAAAAGCAGAGGGGACAAAAGATGGACTGAAGACACTGTGGGGAAGAGATGGGGGAGCAGATTGGCACAAGGAACATGGGGGCAGAGACTGGTACTGGTGGTTGGTAAGGGCAGAGACTGCATCTGGGTGGGCAAGAAGACTAGATCCAGGAAGGGAAATGGGGAAGAGACAAGGAACCAATAGGTGGGGGAGAACATGAGACTGAATGAGGAGTGGGGAAGAGTAATTGGGGCTGGTAGGGCAAGGAGACTGGGAACCAGTAGGGCAATGGATCTGACAAGCAGTCGGAATATGGGGGAGAATTCAGACTGGCTGGACAAAGGGACTGGGACAAGGATTCAGGGAGACAAGGACTGTGGAGAACGTGTGATTTCTGTTAATGTTATTAATGTGGGTGACTCAGTTTACCCATTACATTGTATTGCTACCCACTGGGCATGAAGGGGTTAATTTCTCCCCATGGGATATGTGAATGACAGTCAGATGTTATGCTGACAGCAGGTCTGTCTGGGTTGAACCCAAATGGGCCATCAAGAACTGAATGAAATTAAACACATATGAATGGAGTACCCTAGAGAGAAAAATGAAAGACCCAGCAGTCAAACACTGACCAGACGTTAACGCCTGGCAGCCAAGGAAGGAGAAGGTGTGGAACACAGTGGGGCTGCAACTGGGGACAAAAAGACACAGGAGATGTCAGGTGACTGCGTTAAAAAGAACTGCGCTCAGAGAGACCAGGGAGATAGACACACAGGGTCAGAGTCTAGAGGAGAAGGAGACTGAGATGGACTACAGGAGACCATGGAAATGTAGACCAGTTGCTCCTGCCACTAAAAACAAAGACTTAAGCTTGACTTTTCCATGCTAATCTAAGATTGTATGTCAGCAGACTAACAAATTCTTGCTCGTTTCGAAAATGCTGCCCTGCATTGCTGCAAATACTTACTGGTTACATTGCTCCCTGAATGAGTACAGCTTCTACCAGGAGTCTTAACTCATTTGGCCTCGCTGTAGGGAACATGGCAAGTACAGAGGTACCATACTCCACAAGTTCAGTCTCAGAGTTGTGAGACTTCATGGTTTGCCCTTGTAAAAAGTTGTGCCTGAGGCCTGGAAAATAATAGAGGTAGGCAGGCCCACAGAGTCTGTATAAAGGCTGCATTAAACCACCCTGTACACCTAGGACAAAAGACATGGATTAGATGAGGAGCCTGGAGAAAGACTAGGACTGGGAGCCAGTAGGAACAGGGAAAATGGAGTGTGTGGAGTGACTGAAGGCTGGGGACAGAGACAGATAGATTGGGGACTTGGGAAAGGAACTAGGACTGGCTGGGAAGGGAGACTAGGTCTGGGAGCCAACAGGTAGTGGAGACAGAGTCAGTGGGTGGGAGGAAACTGAGATCAGATGAGGAGGCAGGGGGTGACAGCGTGGCAATGCAAGGAGACTAGGATTTAGTGGGCAAGACGACTGAGATTGATATCAGAAACTTGAGTGAAGACGAACTGTCTACATGAAGAGAATGGGACTAGGATAAGGAGTTAGTGCCAAGGTAAAGACTGGACTGGGACAGGGACAAGTTGAAAGGGTTGGGGCTGAAAGGGTCGTGGCTGAAAGGGTCATAGTTGGGGGCAACAGGTAGAAGAGTATGGCCAGTAGAGCACACTTCCCTTCAGAGCCTGGAATGGAACCGGAGATTCCTGAGTTTTACCATCCCTCTTCTGTCAGCAAAAGGAGGGATAGCTCAGTGGTTTGAGCATTGGCCTGCTAAACCCAGGGTTGTGAGTTCAATCCTTGAGGGGGCTACTTAGGGATCTGGGGCAAAATCAGTACTTGGTCCTGCTAGTGAAGGCAGGGGGCCGGACTTGATGACCTTTCAAGGTCCCTTCCAGTTCTAGGAGATAGAATATCTTTATTTATTTAAATATCAGTGGCAGAGGCCTGTGCAGTGAATCTAAAGGATCCAAACCAGATGGCTACCCATGTGAGCATAAATCTGATGCCACATGATAGAATTTGGGGTTTGACTTTTGATATGCTGATATCCTTACTAATATGTGTGAAGAAAGAAA